TTCAGTGATGAGCGCCGTGTCAACGCCTAAACCGTTGCGGCCACCGACGCCCATCCACTACATATTTCATGTATATGCACCTGTATTATTCTCTGTACTTGTACAGGTTATCCTCTGATACGAAGTTTATCCTAAACGTCAAATTGGACTAAAAAGTCTCTATGTCCAAAGTCTGATTCTCAATTTTATTCAATATATTGAACTTTTCAGATTACCTCACCCTTTCACCACTTTATTATTTTAAGTCATCACATCTCATAAAATCTTTATCTTTCATTAAATTTGATTACACTAATGAAAACTGAAAACACCGGATGATTCATTTTGTTTTTATTGTAACCCTAGGCAAACAAAATAAAAAATAACTCAGAAGATACACCATTACGAGTTTTCAAAGTTATTGTTGTAAGTTAAATTAAACAATTATTGATTCTGTTAATAATTACATTATTTAGGCGCTCGCAGACAGGTTGCTCCTACTAATGTGATGTACAGGTTAATTTCTCAAATGTCATTTATACCATTGTAAAATTCACGTTTTATACCTGAAAAATTTAATTTTTCGTTTGTACTGTTCAAAAAATAAAAATAGTAATAAAATTTAGAAACGTTTATTAAAAAATAAAGACAAAATAAACTACAAACTATCTTTAATAAAAAATTATAATTTTCATTTTTTAATATAAGATTCAAAATTTTCGTTATTTATTATATATTTTCAGTGTAGTTTCATTTAGTTTTTGAACCATTTAAAACCAGAAAAATCAACTTTTTAATAGTTAAATTTTAATTTTACATTGGTGATAACTGCCTTTTAGTAAATTAGGTACCATACACGTATTGATAACTCGTAATATTTTTTGTATTGATTACTCATAATATAGTCATTGAGATGTTCAACCGTTCATTACAAAATAATGAGAATGGTACAAAGTAAACTTTCTAAACTTTTAGAGAAAGTTCGAAAATAACCGTAAAAATGACGCAGCGTTTCTCTCTACTGAAGGGACGTATAAAATACGCAAGTCGTATGTCGAGTCTCATCAAAGTAAGAACATGATTTGTTTTTTAGTTGTTTTTCAGCGTTTATCTGAGGTGTAATAATTTTATTAGATGTGTTAGAAGTAATGAACTGAAGAGGAGGTATATATGAGCCTCGAAATGCATATACAATGAAAATAGTTTTAAAAAATCGTAAAACACAGTTTTTTTTTTTTTTTTTTTTTTTTTTTTTTTTTTTTTTTTTTTTTTTTTTTTTTTTTTTTTTTTTTTTTTTTTNCGGTAATGGTGAGTATTATATTTACTTAGCATTGAGGTTATCGTTATTAATTTACTCCCCGTTTTTTTTACTACCCAGTTAGTTTTCGGATATTCACTGGGTTTATTTTTGTACAGAGCCATCCAATTTCTGAAATATCGGTAGGCTCATAACACTGTTTTTTATAATGTCATTTAAATTTGTTGACATTAGTAGGTTGTCATTTTGACCCTCTCTAATCATATTTACAACGCGCAGTACCGATTCACAAATAAGGGCGAAATTTAGACTTTTCTCGTCATCATTTTCTTTGGGACGATACGGATTAAAGGGGATGAGCCCTCCTGGGGTATCTTTTGGGGTTGGAATTAGCGGACTATAAAGTCTTTTTGGGGTTTGAGCCGTGGCTTCTCCAGGGGGGGAGGAGATTCTTCTTTTCCGAGTGTTCATGTTGGTCATCGTATAGGCGGGCAAGGATGGAGGGGCTAATTTAGGGAATGAAGAATTGTCTTTAAGAGGGGGGGCAGTGGCGGCCCTTGCATATGATTTTTTGTCTACTACCTGCAATGCATCGCTGTAAGACAGGTTTTCAACTGCCATTATGGTTTTAATTCTTTTCTGTTTATCATATTCGGGGCATTCCCTTTGAGCGAAGACCGAGTGGGCGCCTTTGCAATGCAAACATTTAATTGGGGTTTCTGTTTGTGGACAGTCCTTTTTTTCATGATTGCCGTGACAGTGAGCACAGCGTAAAACACCCTTGCAATGATCTTTTACATGTCCGTACCTTAGGCATTTGAAGCATAGTACAACATTTTTAACAAACGGCTCGACCTTGCATCTCACGTAATGTATTGTAACGTGGTCGGGCAGAGCCTGACCTTTGAACGTAATCAGCACAGTCCCCGTGTTTATAAGATTGCCGGTTTCAGTAGCGGGTTTGAGTTTATCTAACTTCCTTTTAAATCTCCGAACATTTAAAATTTTTATATTTTGGCTATCCGTTTTTATAGACTGTAAAAGTTCCATGTCGCTGAGTTTCGGATCGACTCCTCTTATTACACCTTCCCTAACCAGGAGAAAGGACGGGATATATGCTTTTATGTTATTAATTTTTAAAAACTCGGATTCAACCAGATGATTTGCCCCCTGGTGGGACTTAAACATTACCCTAACTCTGTTTTGCCCTGATCTGTCTATACTTGTAACTTCATGGCGAATCTTAGGGTGATTTTCATAAATCAGTTTTCCAAGAGACATTGCATGCAATTTTGCTAAACCGCCTGTCTGACCGTCAATCTGTTTGCTCTCCAGATAAACGTGGTAAGGTCCCTTGTCAGTCTTCGAAAATAAACTTTCCTGTTTTTCGGAGTCGTTAATATTAAGGGTCAATCTGAGTTTATCAGAACCCGGATTGTTGTCATCGGGTACTTTCGATTTTGGATCGAAACTTCCATCCATGAATTCTGTTAATTCTCGTCCCCGTCCCGGGAGAGCCGAATCATTTCCTCCGCTCGAAGCGGACATTATCTTAGGTCGCCCAGCAGCCGACCAGAAGTGAATCAACGGGTTTCAATTATAAAAATAATTGAAAAAACCAAACAAACGGACGAACAAAATTTAACCTTAGTAACAATTAATGTTAATAAAGGAAAAGGAAAAATACTTGTAAAAACAACAAGTTAACGCCGGCGCTCTCCTTATCGTGATGTGTATCGTACGAAGGTCGAGGTCAGACTGTAAAACACAGTTGGAAAACCGTAACAATTTTATTTTAATCCCAACAAACACATTCCCAATTTTTTACATTGTCACTACTTTTTCCTTAGCATAAAATTTCTGCATTTTGGTTCGAGTAATTAGAGAAATGGTTAGACGGCTAGAAAGCTTATTAAACGAAGAAGTTGTGATGACATTTGCCGAGTGCTACCGTAAATTTCTCTAATGAAGTTGCCAATTTAGTTTTATAACTTATTAACTTTGTAACTTATTTTAAATTCAGCAACTTTGAATTTGCTTTTTAACAAAAATTAAATTCAAAGTTCAAGAAAAGTGTCTTAAAGGATATGGACCGTTATTTCCAATATTTGTTGGGATATCCCTAAAAATGAATAGTCAAAATTTGCAAGTAGATTTGTGACGAAAACCGTAGGTATTTCAAAATCATAAAATGTTGCATATCTGCGAAAAGGTTGAGAATCGGACCATGGTTACGAACGATTTTCTTGCATTTTACGTATGAAAATTGAAATTCACTGTTCAAGCCTTACACCCTGTATAATCCAATTTACTGTGACAAACGGTGGACTTTATGGAATAAATTTATGGAAAGTTGAAGTTACACGAAAAGTGAAATACCTCGAAATAGTAAACCTCGAGATAATGACACAGATTTCACATTACTTTTAGAAAGGTGTGTTCTACGACCTCAGCTTCGTGTAAGCATATCAACAAGGCGTAAATGGGTTTGCGTTGTCATAACAAGCAGGTGTAACTGAATTTTATGAGGCTCATTAGAGGAGTTAATGTAACGGGGGGATCGGAGCTAAAGCGCTGTAAAACGGAACCCGATACCGAGCTCATTCTAATTCAAGTCAGTAAATAAAACTGAAAAAATTTTGCCGTTTGGAATTAATTACAATTATTGCACTATAAATCAACGTTTTATCTAATGAAAAATTAATTATGTATACGATTAAAATTTTGTTTAGTTTTGTAAAAGCGTCATTTTAACGATTAAAACCATATTTATTAGTTTACATTATTCTTCAAGTTTTTCAAAATATTTTTATAACATTATAATATATACTATAACGCGTTTTTCAACTAAAATTATTAAAAATTTTGTATTTATTTAAAAATTATTTATTTATTTTTAAAAATTAAATGTAGGCACTCTTCTGAAAAGTAGTATGTAAATGAAACTAAGGTTGACAGGAAAGGTCAAAACCCAAACCATTTAAAATAGTCAAATTGAAATGGTTGAAAACAGCCAAACAGCATTTTTACAAACGATGAAAACATTTCAAGCTTTTCAAATTAAAAAAATAAAATTGTTATAAACAATATACTTTTTACATTTTTATAACTAATTATTAACTTAATTTCTCATGTAATTTTGTTTGAAGATATTTAAAATTATTTATCTATTTAAAGATACCAAATTCTTTGTAGCACAATAAAGTGTATAAATTTCTTTAAAATTGCAATAGAGCGGCAGTAACTGTAAATTTGTTTAGAATTCAACTAGAAATATTTGAAAGTTTTGATTTGTCATTGAAGATGGAAGCTGAGCCCAGAAGCAGGTTTGTGGTGTGGCAGTACTTCCAAAAATAAGCTTAATTATTAATTTTATACTGGAAAAGGATCAAAGGAATAAAGTCAATTAGCCAAAAAAATTAATACCTTTTCGAACTTCGGATAACCCTTCATCTATAAAACTATAATTTTCAAATATAATTAGGTTTTAGTCTAGTCGTTTGGAAAAAAATATTTTTTTAGGTAATTAATATTAGTTTTGTAAGTTTTAGAGAATCAACTGTTTAAGAAAAGGGAGTTTCAAGAAGAAATTAAATAGTTTTGATATTGAAACTATTGTTTTAAATATGGCTACCAGCTTTCATTATTTTCTTTACATTTATTTTCAAAACAAATTGTTAATCAGAAAAAATATGCTTTTACACTAGCTGTGTGACCGATTTTTATGGTTCTTCTATCAGGAATTCTAACAATTTTTTCTCAGGGCTCTTCAGCAGAGTGGCACTGCTTTCTGGTAGCATTCTGAGCCCCTGGGCAGTTGGACAAGATCCCGTCGGCCTCCGGGAAAAGGTGGGAACAGAGCTTGGCTGCAAGACAGGCCCGAAGGACGATCTCGCCAAATGTCTTCGGGCGCGTCCTCTCGCAGCAATCCTTTCGGTCCGCGTGCCAAGCCCGCGATTCCTTACCGGAGTCGGTCCTTGGACGAGGTCGGAACCTTCGACTGCAGTTGAAACCTCTGGAGAGCCTTTCTTAAGCTCAAGAGTCCTTCTGGGAACAACCACTACAGAGAGCTACCTCGATTTCAACAACCAGGATATTCAATACGGCATTGAGGAGGACCAAAGAAACAGGGTACTTAGGTGAGTAGAAAATCCATTATGCTTACTTATATTTATAATAAAGACTTTGAATATCTGAAGTGAAACCATGATTTTAAAAAATAAAAATAAACATACAGTTTGCGTTGCGCCAATACGGAGCTTTACTGTGGTTAACCAGTAGTATAAATCTGTCATCTGTGGTTGAATATATTCAAGCGTCTTGGTATGAAGAAATTGTTGTACTTACGGATTTTCTAAATTCGAGTGGAGCCAAATGAAATTCGCGCTTCATACTCGCGTATTTTCACCGCTTCGAGGAAAAACATTGAATCATGGATTTGTTTTTGGACCATCAATTAGGAAAATCACCGATAAACAACTTAACAAGAGTGTAAGATTTTGTTTGAATGGGAATTTACCAATAACAGCAATTATTTTAACACCGGGCGCACGTTACTTCCCCGTAACACTTTCTTCTCCAAGAAAGATAATAACGTAACTGTTTTCTTGTAGCCCTTCTCCTTGTAGTCCTAAACATATCAAATATATTACATAAAAATTTACATAAAACATATTAAATTTACCTATTGCAATACAAAATATTTCATTGTGTTTTACTAACATTATTAGATAAACAAGAGAAACCAGACATCTAAGTAATGTTAATATATACTTATATATACATGATGTATCAACTTCTGTAGACAACCCATTTAATTCGGAAAGGAAGTTTTATAAATACCCAAGTTACTTTTGGCTAGAAATCGCGTGGTTGTAACAGATTTAACATAACTTTCTCATCTAAATGGGAATTGTCACTAACTTTGTTATTTTAAATAAGAATCCCATATTTTTATTGTATAGTTCGATTCTAAAGCTTATTTTATGCCACTTTTACCGAAAGGAAAATTTTGACAGGATCGCCGTTGACGAAGGCGCAGGGTTAAAATGGTGGGGTTTTATACGGTGCCTTTTAGCGCAGGGAGCAAATTTGAGCAATTATTATAAACATAAATTGTAATCAATGGTCAAATCTTTGCAAAACAACAGCCACATCAAATCAGGAGATTAAGGCTGATTTTCTCATTATTGTAAATTTTTTCCACTATTTTTCTAATTTTCGTAAAAACGGAACGTTATTTTATGTTGAAAAGTAATAATTTGTTATTTAATTATCAATGTGAATAAAAAAAGAATAGCATTCGCCACATTCTAAGCATGATTTTCTTATTCAAATCCTATTTTTACACTAATGACAATTTTGTCCTAGGAAAAAGTTTTCAAGCTTTTTACATAAAGAAGTTTTTCTTACTTGGATAGCCCATAATTGACAATTCCTCAGCTTTAAATGCCGATTAAAACTCTAGCTGAAATAACAAAAACTGGATTGTTTTATGATTAAATACAAAAAATGAAATATTTAAAGGAATCATTTTACAAACTTATTTGTCTCTATCACAATGAGAAATTTATCTCTCTTTTTAATGGTGCCAACAGATTTTCTTTAACTTAAAGAGCAAAAATGTTATGACAGTTGTAACCTAAAAAAACTTGTTTTGGAAAGAAGAAATTAAATTAATTATTAATTAATAATTTAACTATTAATTTAAATTAATAGTTTAAGAAATTAAATAGTGAAAACTTTTAAAAAATGTATAGAATATTTTTTTGTAGCAAATAAGCTGAAGATTCGTATCCATGAATTTTACGCATAATTTGTGAAACACACTGTATATATAAATTTTAAATTCACTAATTTTGTGGTCCGCTTGACCAATTAATACATTACAATTAATTAAGGTTTTTTAGTTGAGATAAAAAAGTCAATGGCACGAGCGGGATTCGAACCCACGATCTTCTACCTGCTTACCTTGCTGCTCTACCACTGTCATTTTTCAAACGTCGTGTAATCGGATTGGATTCTCAGCGACTTATGAAGTGGCCTCGGGGATCTATTTAGTAGGCAAAAAGGAGGAAAAATTCAAAAGGTGGGATTGAGATGGGAAATTAGTGTCCGAGTGCAAGTGGTGGAGCAGCGGCGAATCTAGCCGAAGATCGTGGGTTCGAATCCCGCTCGTGCCATTGACTTTTTTATCTCAACTAAAAAACCTTAATTAATTGAAATAAATTTTAAAGTTTCTATGCAGATATCTAGTACTAGATAACTGTACAAATTTTAATTAATAGCGAGGCCGAGCGCAACGCCAAGTAAATGGCTATAGTAAATGATCTTGGTAAATGGTCTACTAACTGTGAACTATTTTTTAAATATATTATGCAACATACTCACCCCACCTTTATTATTTCTATCAAATTTGGCCCCTTTAGAAATCATTTAACTAAAAATTAAGAGTGTGTTTGTGTTAAGAGCGGAAGCGAGAGAGAGACAGATAAAAATTGCTTATGTTGCACCAGTCTATTATTAAGAAAAATAATTTTAATTATGATTTAACTCAGTTTGTAAAAATGCGTAAAGTAATAGTATTCTTTCTTTATTTTGATTTTCAGAACGTACGTTCGGAATGCGTACGTGTACCACTTAAACGAAATATTCTCAACCGTACGGAACGAGTACACGGACTGGGAGAAGCCGATTCAGCACCCCATCAATATCAGGGATTCAACATTGGAAGCACTTAGCGATGGGCACACAGTCGCTCCACTCCTAAGGCTGGGATATCTGCATTCAAGGAGAGGATCACCTACCTACTTTTACCACTTTAACTACCAAACTAAAGAAAGCGACTATCCACAGGTTTGTTTTTCATCTTAGTTTCCCTCCACTGTACACTATTACGATATCGATAATTTACAGTAGAGAGCACCGAATTTAATGAAACTTTTTTTTAAACCTTTTTTACTGATACTGGGTTGTAAAGTATTATATACGAGTTGCAGGATTCTTGTTAATTGGTAACCAATTTTTCCTGTAACACATTTTTCCCTTTCGTTTAGCATGTTTTTCAAGGAGATAATATATCACTGATGAATGGTTTGCAATAATAGGCAGGCAATAAATGAGATTATATATAGTGGTTTGGCAAGAAAATAATGACTTCGACTTCTATATTTTGTTTTTTATACTTGGCATATTTTTAACTATTCGTAAATGTATTTTCCGTTGTTTGCAATTACTTTTTGCCATCTTTCCGGTAACAAGTCTATTCCTGTCGTATAAAATTCCATCTTTGAAACCAGGAACGTTTGTAAAACTATTTGACAGTTTCAAAACTTTTAAAATTGGAGCCATTTAAAAAAATTTGTAATGGCCGAAATAAATAACAGTCACAAGGTAAAATGAGCAAAGAGTATGGCGGGTGGTGTGATAAAATTTCCCCATTCAGATTAGTTAATAATTGTTTGGACCTCGTTGTTGTTGTCGTGGAGAAAGACAACTATTTTACTGTTTGCTAGCGCAGGCCGTTTTGGCTTTAATTAAAGCTTTAGAATGATTTAGCTGTTCACAGTGTAGTTCACTAGTAACTGGTTGCCCTTGTTGAAAAAGCTCAAAATGCAAAGACCTGTCCCACCAAATGCACAGCATATGTTTTTTCCGTGCATTTGATATTTTGTGCCAACTGGGGGCCGTTGACCGGGTTTGAAAAAAGCTTTTTTGCGGACTATGTTTTTGTATGTGACGCATTTTTCATCAGTTGCTACCAATCTACAAAGAAATGGGTCGAAAGACTGAGAAGAAGGAAAGGGAAATTAAGATGCGATTCTCAATGGTTTTTTTTTATTATTATTATTACTATTGGCCTTATGATCTTGCATATTAGCCATAGTACGAATTCTTGTGTGTTCAAATTGGGGGTTATCGGGAAAAAAGGGCCAGAGGCGACGGTGGGAATCGAACCCACGACCGCGGGGTGAGAGTCTCTCATGCTAACCACTCGGCTACCGCGGTCCCCGATTCTCAGTGTTCCTTTCGCTGATCTCTTAGGATCCACATAGCATACTTTTGAACACACCCAAATCATTAGATGTGGTTTCCAATCGGTCTGAGTGAAACATTTAACATCTCTCCTCGTTCTCAGGTTGTCAAAAACGGATTTCCTTCTAGCCTACCTGAATCCGTCGTCCTAAACCTCAGAAGGATTTTCACTGCGTGCATCGTCTTCAAGAACAAAATTTCCTTCTCTAAATCGAGCAAACCAACGTTGGCGGCTATATGGAGACATACCTTTTGGTTTTCAAATGAACAGTTACTTTCGTAAATTTACCAGAGGACGAAATTAAATCACCCAGATAAGAAAATGAGTGAAAGGCAGAATGAAACGAGTATTTAAAAGATGGAGTTTTTTTAAAACGACACGGTTTCCAAAAGGGATACAAATAATAGACGTAAATAAAAATAATTATAAAACCCACAACTTCAATTTCTAGACAGTCTGAACTGTTATCTTATAAATTTTTACTAAATATATATATATTGTTTTTATAAGTGCTTCAGATATGCTTTTATTAAATAATAAAATAGCCGATTAAAAGCGGTAATACTCTTTCCTTTTTCCATTTTTCAATGAATTATCAATATTTCACAATGGATCTTCCATTAAGTAACTGACTTAATATTTTCTTGTACGTTTTGAACGGTACAGTGAGCAATCATTGTTGATCCGCTCGGATATTGCACAACCCGTATTCAACGCAAGATATTTTCCCCCTTATCCTTTCGGCCCACCGAGGAAAATCATTAAGGGGAGGATAATGTTCCACTAAGCCAACAATGGCAGTCAGTATTGATGATATGGCATACTTTTCACGCCGTCCACTTACACCGCGGGTTTTTCAGTCGGTCGATTTTGTCAGCTTTGGTAAAATGTTTTATCACGATATAATTATAACTAGAGAGAAAGCTTCGCTAAAATTATTTAACAGCAAACATACAGTCTGTCATTACTGGAAAATATAAAAAAAGATTTGAAAATTCTAGAAAACTGTAAAAATTCTAGTTAGTAGTTAGGGGGAGAGAGAGAGTGTGTGAGAGAGTGTGTGTATGTGTGTGCATGTTTGAGCGTGCGCGCGTGTTGCGTATGTGTGTGTGTGTGTGTGTGTGTGTGTGTGTGTGTGTGTGTGTGTGTGTTTGTGTGAAAGAGGGAGAGTTAGAAAGAATGAGAATGAAAGAGAAATGGAGAGATAAAGAAAGAGAGTGGAGAAGAGAGAGAGATAGAGTGAGCGAAAGCGAGGGAGGAAGAGAGAGAAAGAGTTATTGCTTACATTGAGATATCAATGAACAATTCGATATATTTAATACCTAAAGGAAAAATTCTTTGATTTTTCAAAATTCTTGCAAATAAGAAACATAGAAGAGTCCTAACTAAACCACATGTCGACGGCGGAGAAATAATTCAATTTGCCAAATATAGCCTCTTGTATTTTCCTGTTAAATTTAAAAAGCCTAAATAGTCCTTGTGATTGTCTCTTTCCTTAACTTTTGAGGTCTGCAAGGTGATCAAACTACAGTGTTATTTTTACGAACGTTTTGGTCTGTCAGACGTGTTTCAGCTTACCTCGGTTTCTAACATAATTATGCTTTTTTTAATAACAAACAGATTCCCACAACCAGTGTAGTATTTATATATACTATAACAAACCAAAACTATTTTATAAATGGAACAAATTTCCCTATTAACGAGTAGAGTTTAACACATTTTTCTTTATAATATGAACAGAAGTATTGAGCATAACCATATTCTTACATTTATTCCATCGTCTTATTATTATTCGCATCAGTTGATTTATAATTTCTATTACCATGTTTCTCATGAAACAGGCCTTTAGTTCTTGTAGGAACTTTAAACTGGATTAATGTTAATAAACATTATTAGAAACTAATGATGGGAACAACCGAAACGTGGGTAGTTATAGTAAAATAAACAGAAATTACTTAATTGCTGTCTTGTCTTTTATAAAACTTCCAGCTTACTTTTCACGGAACACCTTTGTGCACCCCTTGTTCTGTATGAATTTCTGCATTATTCGGCTAATAGGAATTTTCGCTAATCCGAACAGGGCACGGTTCCAATTAGTTCGGGACAGTAGAACTCCCCTATATTACATTTAGTAACGCTACCATTTGAATATGGACGTTTAAATGACAAAAACTCTTAACATAATTATGATAGCTGTGCAGAAAATATCGTACAAAAGTCGCTGGGCGGTGGGCAAAAGTGGATAAAAGCGAAATAATTAACTCATTTATCTGAACATTCATTTGCGCTCTAGTTACCAATAGCGACTTGTAGATATTAAAAAATTATCCCTAATCCGTCAACGAAATGGTAAACCATGGCTAAAACTTTTCATATTAAAATGTTTGCCTTTAATTGTATGTTCGTCTACGCACGAATCAAATTAATAGTAAACTATATGGTTGGTAAGATTAAAATTTTTAGGTTAAAACAAGACTTTTTTGCAAGTTGTTTAAATATTCAATGGCTGATTGCAAAATTCTAAGAATAAAAATTCTTTTTGATGTTCTTTATTGACGAATAAATTATCAAATGAATTATCAATCGTGGTTTGTGCTTTGTCATATGTTTAACTTACCTTCTGGTTACAAATTTAAAAAATATCGTTTTGATAATTTTATAGATTCTTTATTAAATTACATACAATTATGTTAAATTATATATCACCTAATTTTCGTTGAAAATAAATGTTTATTAGTAATTTTTAGAAATTGTTGTTACAGACATTTGAAAAACCATATATTTTTAATATATTTTCAAAACAAAAATTTAATATCCAAACAGATAGAGCAAGTCAGTTGAACGATAATAGGATTTATGGGCGGAAAGGGTGGATTACAATTTAAGGACAAATGGAAGTTGAAAATGGTCTAGGTTGTGCGTGAGTCATATCCCGCCCACATAAACTATTTTTGTTGGGCTTAATTCTGTGAACGTTAAAAGATCAAGTCCCAAAAATCCATTCCCAAGTACAAATGGGTTTCATGTCGCAATATACTACTAAGTCTCCTATTATTTGCCATTTTATTAGATGATTTCCAGCCTATTTTTGAATGTGGCAGTCAAGTTGTATTCAGTTGATAGTGTAGCAGGGCCTTCAAAAATAAATATGTGTATTTGAGACTTCTAAGAGAGAATCCTGGCATTAGAAGAAAAATTTAACAGAGTCGTGTATAAATAGAATTTTGTTTGCTAATGATGACGCTATTCAATATTATTATGTAAACATTGTTAAGTTATTAGCGAGAATGGAGTGGGTTCAACCTCGCCCGAAGATTATCGAGCACTCTGGGACAATTAATGTGACGAGACTTCTATGTTTGTATCGGGTGATTTGTTTATATTACTTTATAGATTTTTTATTTTTTTTAATACATTTATATTTTATTACAACTACAAATATTATGTAAATATGTTCATATATGTTGAATTTGTCGTTTGAGTCTCTTGTAGGAAAGTTGCCCAGTGGCACACTCCTTCACACTGAAATCTTTTCAATCTTCACTCAATGAGAAAGTCTCCGGGCCACTTTCGCTTCAATCGTCTTGGAGGATTTTCAGGCAGGGTTGGAAGTGATAAATGTCGTACTAATAGATTTTTGTCTGTGTTCAGTGATTGATGAAATTTTTTATAGCGGGCTTTGATGAGTTCATGTACAAACGGGATATGTAGATCGTTATGAAAAGTGTAATTTGAAACGTAAAAAAGAGCATTTATAATTTGACGGAGAATTTTCCATTGGATTAATTGGAGACGTTGGGAATTGGAATCCTTGGTTGTG